ATCTGCGGGGCCGGCGCGCGGGGCGGTGAGTGCGCACGGGCCCGCAGCGCGTGAGGGGACGGGCGGGGGAACGGGCGCGCGCTCCTGAGGGACCGGGAGCGTTCCTGAGGGGCCAGGGGGAACCGGGAGCGTTCCCGTGGCCTGGGAGAGGCCGGGAGGGACCGGGAGCGTTCCCGTGGCCTGGGAGAGCCCGTGAGGAACCGGGAGCCTCCCCGTGGCCCGTGTGAGCTCCCTAGGGCCCTCAATGAGGAAATCCCCGCTCTGCCCCGGGGGTTTTCCCCGTGCCGGGTGGCTCGGTGGGGATAAGGACGCTCTCTGCTCGATGTTGGGCCGGGGCTTGGCTGAGCGAGTGATTTCCCGAGGGAGAGGAACTCGGTGTGCCCTTGGAATGGAGAAATGGAAGGTGGAGTAGAAGGAAAAGACCAAAAAAATAAAGTTTGACGTGTTAGCCTCAGGTTATGGGTTTATTGAGCGAGAAGCGTCAGCCAGGTGTGATGTCACTTAAAATAGGAGAGTGTTGGTGGGAAAACGTGTATTTTCCTTCAGGCCTGACGCCCGTACACGGGTTCAGTGTGCTCAGAGGCTCTCCTGGTGCCTGAGGTCTGGCTGACTCGGTAACTCACCTTTGGTGTTCGATTTCTACCTCGGATCCCTTCAGAGCAGGGTCCAGGCCAAACCCAGGAGACAGGGAATGATAACAACCCGTGCATCAGCTACACCCGGTTATCCAGCTCCTCACTAGCCCCTCTCATGTCACCCTGCCCTAATCACTTCTTTAAATGCCTCTGGCCTCTTAAAATCAATTTGTTTGGGCTTCTTTTAAATCTGATGTTAATCCAGTTGTAGTCTAGTAATCCCCCATGATAAAAGAACTTTCTCTACAAGCTGTGGGGAGTTTACCTTGACACAATTCCTTGACTCGAGATTTTTATTCTTTGAGATATTTGATTTGATGTTTTCACTCTTCATAAACACTTGCAGGGTGTTGTCTGCGTGCAGGTGGAAGCAATGGTTTAAAGAGACATTTCAGCTGTTTTTATGGAGTAGGTGATAATTACAACTGATTCAGATGGTTAATGGGGCTTACAATTGTGAGGGATTTATAGTGTCTTTCCATCACTCTTCTCAGAAAAATGCAGCTCTTCATAAAAAGATGGGGAAAAAATCCCAAACACAGGGTTTATTTTGCTCAAGGGACTTGTCTTAATGTCTCTTTAGAACACCAAAATATGTTTGGAAGAGCCCGAGGACCTTTCAAGAAGGGAGATTTCCCAGTTTTTGCTCCTTTCTGGTGAACCAGTGTGCCCAGACTGTGTGTCCCTTGCAGCAGAGGTTTATTCAGAGACCTCTGATTCCTGCAGTGTGAATATCCTTGCTTAGAAGGGCAGTGCTGAATTTTAAATCATGTTTAGCCCACAGGGAAGTCCTCCAGGCTCTGTAGGATTAAACCTGAGCGGAGCAGGAGTGGTATGAACAGCTCTGTAGTAAACTCTGGGCTGGGTTGGCTGAGGTGCTGAGCACTCTTTCATCACCCTTCTAAAACTTTTTTCAGAGTTGGAAGGAAAGGGAGAAGCAGCAGGAAAGCTTGAAATAATACATTTACTAGACTTTGCCACAAACCAGATTGGCACATTCCTGGGAATGTTCAGTAGTTTGTATTTAGCTGTAAACTGATTTATAGCTGAAGGTGCAGCAGAGCCTTGTAATTTCACTGTGGAATGTGTGAAATACCTGTACTGGGACAAGAGCTTCAGGCACTTCAGATCAGATGTGAATCAGAGCCTTTCCCAGGTGTCAAAGCTCTGTGAAACTACAGTTTCAAACTGCCATTTCCAGTCTTGCCAAATCAGTCACAGAAAGACAGGGATCAGGTTTGCTGTAAACACAGATCAACACCAAGTGTGAGAAAATGGCACTGACAGTTGAAGCTTTGAGCTTCCCGCCTTTGGCAGAGGACAAAAGTCTTCCCTGCTCCCTGCAGTTTCTGTTTAATTATCTACAAACCCTGCCCTGAGAGAATTGTCACTGGTCTTGTTTTCTCACAGGCTGAGAAATGAGAGTGGAGTTGCCATCACTCTCACTGCCTACTCCAGGGCATGTCCATTTTCCTAAAACAAATTAGGGGTTTAGGAGAGAGTCTGGAGAGGGACTTTGGACAAGGGCATGGGGTGACAGGACAAGGGGGAATGGTTTTGCACTGCCAGAGGGCAGGGTTAGATACTGGAAAGAAGTTCTTGACTGTGACCGTGGTGAGGCCCTGGCACAGGGTGCCCAGAGGAGCTGTGGGTACTCCATCCTGGAAGTGTTCCAGGCTGAGCTGGAGGGGGCTTGGAGCAGCCTGGGATAGTGGAAGGTGTCCCTGCCCATGGCAGGAGGGTGGAATGAAATGATCTTGAAGGTCCCTTTCATCCCAAACCAGTTTGTGATTCAGTGAGAACCTAACTAAAACCTGGTTCCTTGTTAGCCACCATATCCTGTAGGTTCTGCTTCAGAATAACCTGTGTGACTTGTCTGCCCATGAGGAATTCTTGTATCTTACATCCCAGAATCATCTGTGCCCTTGGCCTCCAATCTCTGAACTGGCTCCCTGTGCAGGGATAAAGTGTGATGTTAAGAGGCAGATGTCACCATCCCTGTGCTGCTGGGAGGGGATGTAGGGGCAGTTCACTCTCATGAGAGCTCCCTGCTGCTATTTTTAGTTGCTTCATTTTCTTTCTGTTGGAGAAATAATTATTGCTGTCTCTTTGTTCATGTTCAGGGAGCTTGTGTATCCCTTCATTTCCCCCTGCTGAGAGACTGCAATAGATAAAGCTCACAAAAACACAAATGTCTTGCCCAAAGTTGGCAAAGCATAATAGAAGATTAATTGTAAATAGCCCTTGCTAAAGGACTAAAAGAACTTTTTTTTTTCCAAAGTGATTGCTCTTCAGTGCTCATTTTTCTTCCACAGGTTGAATTACACTCAAGGAGCTCGTTCTTGCCTACATGTGATATTAGTTTGCATTATCATCTGTGGCAATAGGTCTTAGATAACATGGAAATTAAGAGAAAAGGAAGATTAGGCTTCAGTCTTCTAGGAAACCTGCAGGGATGCTTTCAAGCCTTAACTTGTTCAGTGTGTTGGATTAGGAATGTGAGTCTTCATGAGGATGCTTGTTTAAATTCTTGGATCCATCACTGTTTACTTCTTCCCTTTTTCTTTGTCTGTGTCATTCCTTTAAGGCCATTTTAATTATTCTGTGTTTTTCTTGCATTTAATTCACTACAATAACCACAACTTTTGCTGTAGTTCAGGTGTTTGGTGCAGCTATACAGAAACCAGGCCCTGCACCTTGTTCTGCATCTGTTCAGTGACTGCCAGTTTATATTTGCCTTTTTTCCTTACTTTTTACAGATCACATCTAAAGTCACTGAAACTCTAAGGCTAGGAAGTGTTACGACTTTGCTTCTTCCCCAGCTCCTGCCCTAGCTTATTTAGTAAGTTTGACAGCACTTATAAAAATAAGGTATTCTGTAAGTCACTTTAGCTGTGTGAAATGCCCTAGAAGTCTTTAAAGGACAGCAATTAGCAGGTGGATCTGGTAAGGTTTCATACCTGGAATTATCTTGGTTTTTTAACTGAATACATTCCCAATAGGTAACTTCCCTTTGAGTGAATGGCTTGGAAGTTTACTAGCAAAGTTGCATTTAAACTTCAAGGATGCACAAAATTCCATTCTGATGCAAAATGCTTTTTTAATTAAAACTCGACTTTTATCCTCACCTTTAGGTGACTGAGTCACAGGTGGTAGAACATGGCTGGACAAATATCAGAGTCGGATCAGATCAAGCAGGTGAGATGCTGCATTTGGGAGGGGTGGTTTGAAGGTCATGAGCTGCTCTGTCCCACAGAGTGGAAGGTGTAGGGCATAGGGAAGGATAAAAACGGAGGTAACACAACCAAAATTTCAATGGGTGACCACTGACAAAACAGCATGTTTTGTGTACAAGCAGCTTTTGGTGCTGAAATCTTCTGATGGAGAGTAAATATTTCTAGTGACTTGTTCAGATTTTCTTACACCATGCACCTGTGTGTAAGAAAAATAAACACTGATTTTGTAAAATTTTTTTTTAATATTCATTGTCCAATTTTTACTTACAGTTCAAGGAGTTTCTTGGCACATACAATAAACTTACAGAAAATTGCTTTGTGGATTGCATAAAGGATTTCACTAGCAGAGATGTGAAACCAGAAGAGGTAGGTGATGGCTTCTCATGACCCTTTGGTAGAATTGCTGTGTAGCATTCCAAATTCAGAAACAACTTAGAGAGTTTTGATCTTTAAACTAAGATACAAAGTGAGGCAGCAGCCTTCAGTGGAGTGTGGGTGTCTGGCATGTTGCTTCCATCAGTGTCCCATCACATCCGAGCTTGGATAGGGCTTGGAGCAGCCTGGGATAGTGGAAGGTGTCCCTGCCCATGGCAGGGGGTGGCACTGGGTGCTCTTTAGGGTTCCTTGACACTAAAACCATTCTAGAAGTGGTTGCCACACACAGAATCTGCCCAGTCTCCACTGAATATTGGCTGCTTTATTGCAATTTTATGTGTTTCATTCCCTGAACTGTCAGTGGAGGTTCTTGTGCCTTCTCATGGATGGCAACTCCATGGACATGGAAGCTACCCACCTACAGCCTGCATCTCATTCTTTGAGGAATTCTGCTGAAGTATTTGTTTACCTGCCCACGCTCCTGCTTTGTAGTGAGTCATGGGAACACAGCTCTGGCTGTTAAATCCATTTCCCTGCACTGCAGGGAGCTCCCTCACATCGTCATCTGCAAAAAGATTAAGCTCTCCATAAGATTAGTTGCATGTTTTTGCTTCTCTTTGCCTGTAGAGAGGCTGTTTCAGAGCCTAATCATTTTGTTGCTTAAAAATCTAATAACCTTTGCTTGACTCTGCTGGCAGGACAAAAAAAAAAAGCCCAAGATTTTAAACTAACCACTGTTTCTGAGCCTTTCTGCCTCCTTGCAGCCTCCTCCTCCTCACTGCAGGCAAAACTTGTCTCCTTTCCGCTTTGGTTCTGCTGCCCTGAACAGAAGTTTCTTAGCTTCCCAAGACAGATTTCTTCTTTTCCTAATCTTCTCTGCATCTGCTTTAGTGGAATTCTATTACAGGTCATAATTTATTCTTGGATTAAAGATAATTTAGGTCCAAAAAATATTCTTGGAGCAGCCAGGCCTAGTGGGAGGTGTCCCTGCCATGGCTGGGCATTGGAATGAGATGTTATTTAATGTCCATCCCAACCCAAACCATTTTCTGATTGTGACCTGCCTTGTTTTGAACCATTGCAGATGGTTCATGTCTGGTAGCACAGGAACCATCTGTTAACAGTGGAACTAGGAAGGAATTTCCTTATGGAAAGTTCTGCCCATCTTGTCCATGATGGGATTTCTTGCAGAGCACCTGTCTCTGGAAACAGGACACTTGTCTAGATGGACACTGTCTGTCTGCTGTGGAAATGCCCATGTTTCTCTTGAGAGTTATAGTTCCTTATTAAGTAATTGAGATTGCTACCTCCATGCATCCCTTTTGGGATCCTACACTTGAAAAAACCCAACTCGTGAGCTCTTTCCTTGCACAAGTGCCAGTGCAAGTCTGGACTTCCCAGCAAGGTGTCACACACGCCGCTCCCTCTGGCAGCAGAGGCTGGGGCAGGTCCAGAAGTTGTTTCCTAGGGAGATTCCACCCCTGCTCAGCAAGTTTGGCTGTAGCTGCTGCCAGGCTGAGGACAGAGAAGGGCAGGTGCTGGGTGGTGTGTGGAGCTTCTTGGGGTTTTGTCTAGCTCATTTTCACCCCTTCTGCTTTTCACATCCTTCTGTACCAGCAGAACCAAAGCAATGGCTGCTTTCCCAGGCAAAGGGGTTAGCTTTCATTTCTGCCCAAATTTCACTTTGCAGTGATAGCAAGGTTTTGAGCCATGGCACAGAATATCCAATTGGTAGGACTGTAGTTCAGAAATTATCTCATAACTCTTTCTTTACACTTAAGAAACCACTTTAAATTTGAAGACTACTGTGGTTGGAATAGGCTCTGGTATTTATTTGCCAGTCCAGCTGACGGATGTACTCTGGTGGCTTTGCTGAAGGGTAACAAGGCAGGTATCAGAAGGCTGATAGAGCCAATGGGAACAAGGGTAAAAAAGGGTTAAACTGAGTTAGCAGAGAGCAGCTCATATGTAGCTGTCAAAGCCAGTATGTTTGTAAACAGAATTAAAATAAAATTTACTCATTTAATAGATTTATTAATCATTTCAAAATGTACAGTTCAATTCCACAAGAGGAGCCCAAGGACAAAAGAATGGTACCGCCTAGGTCCAGGGTGTTTTCCATGGAGACTTTAATATGAGAATGAATATTAGTAGATGTTTCAGGCATAGAAGAACTCAACTTTACATTTTCTACTGTCCTCATCTTGAGGCTTGACAATATGAGATGTCCTCACCTGTTTATCCCTGTCTGTGGTGATATTTTGTGTCCTGGTTGGGGACGTGTTTGATTCACTGTCTGAAGCCCTCTGTTTCCCTCTTGCTGTAGATAACTTGCTCAGAAAACTGCCTGCAGAAGTATCTAAAGATGACACAGAGGATCTCCATGAGATTCCAGGAGTACCACATCCAGCAGAACGAGGCTCTGGCAGCCAAGGCAGGACTGCTCAGCCAACCTCGTTAGACCAGAGCACTGTGCTCTGACTTAAGCTGTGCCAGTGTTCCCTGGGCAAGAACACATTGGGGGATTCCTACTGTCAGGATGTGTGTCCAGCAGCTCAGAGCAGAGCTGTGGGTGCTGCTCAGGCAGTGGGGGCCATGAAGGGTTAAACAGGAGCTCAGTCGTGGTGGCCTGGCAGTGGAATTTGTTTCCACGAGGGAATAATGCAGATACAGCTTTTCCCAGGGCCCACAGACTGGTGTCCGAATTTCAGGGGTGGTGGGAGGGCTCACTTGCCTTGTGCCAAGACTGGTTGAGATGAATCAATTGAACGTGGGGAATACACTTTTTTATTTAATTCAAATAAAATCAACAGGAGCTAAATACACGTGTGTGTTCTTTCCAAAGAGCCATTTTTGGGACATTTGAAAGCAGCATTTTGTTTACTGGGGTCTCTTTGCTCAGCTGCTCTAGAGTTCTGTTCGTTCACTGCTGCTTTAGGAGCTGACAGATGCCAGAGGGAGCTCAGGCAGGGCCGCTCTGCTGGCCTTGCCCCAGGTTATCTTTGGTGCCTTATCCTGTCACTTAACAGGGGACAGAGGGGCACTGGCAGCTCCTGTGCACCTTTTGTTTCCCTCAGGGAGCCCCATGGGCTCCTCCCAGCCTGGCTGCCTGGCCTGACACACTCCAAGCACTGAGCTTGCTGCAGTTTTCTCCTTTCTCCCTGTGAATGCCAGCAGGAAATACAGGCTGTGCACAGCACAGGGCCTGTCCTGCTGCTGCATGAGCCCAGAGAGGTTTGGAAGGCAGCTGGATTGGGTTAGGAAACACAGCAGTGCTTTGGAAGGATCCTGACAGCTGAAATCCTTCAGTCAGGGCCTTAGTGCCGTGGAATGACAGTCAACAGGCACCCTGTGCTTCAGTTCTAGCTCATAAAATACAGGAACAACAGGAACTCAACACCAGAAGCACCAATTTTGAGATTCTAAATGATGAGTGAACCAAAGCTATTTCACATCCACTGCCAGATTCTGTTATTTATAGAGAGGCAACAGCAAGGAACAGAAAGGGCAAAAGGACTTTTTTGTTGTTACCTTCTCCTCCTTTTTATTTCCAGCAGCAGCAGCTTTAATGACTAACTCAGCTGTCCAGGCTGTGGATTCCTGGCCCCTGAGGGCAGCAGTGCTCCTGCCACTTGCAGCAGACACTGCTCTCTGTGCTGCTGTCCGGCTCTCCCTGGGTGCTGTTCCTGTGCTTGCAAAGGTGGAAGGAGCCCGAGTCCCCACGTTTGGACTCACTGTACCACAACTCCTTCCTCCTGTGCCTTGTTACTGTGGAGATGGGCAAGCGCTGCCTCTGAAACAGTGAAGGCTAAAAACCAGCCCAAATAAGGCAGCAAGTCTCCACTGTCCTGTTTTTTCAAAGGAATATCAGGCTAAAACTGTCCAGATTGTTTGCTACAATCAGGCCACAAATGTTGCAGCCAATTAGAATCAATACATGCATAGCAAAGACTTGAAGGCTTTCCTTGAAGCAGCTCTCTTTTTGTTAAACATGTGAAAGTAATCCATGATTGAGATTTTCAACTGGATCTTCATGAGGAAAGAGCTGCTCAGGAAAGTGTCTGAAGAGTTTAACTGATGGAAGTGGAGGATTTTCATGTCTTCTGAACAAACCACCTTGGGGCTGAACTGAGGGGGGTTAAAAAAATAATAATTTTCTCTCATTTCAGTATTTGGAGGTAGGAATATATTTAAATACATATGAGGACAGATTTCTTGAAAAAATGATTAAGCAAGTTTTAGAGGGACTTAGTTAATAAATTACCCACCAGGTTTGTCAAAGCTCTGTTTCTTTACAAAAATGTGGTCTTTCAAATCCAGATGACAGGCTGCATACAGACAATTCAAATATATTTGAGCTTGGAAATAAAATGCATCCACATAACTAAAGCATTCAGGTGATAAAAATAAATAATAAAAATAGGATAAAAATGGTTTCAGTCTGGATCCTAAGAGAAAGACAACTACGTTTTTCCTAAATGCTGTTAAGGGGTGTCAAGAGGAGGTGAATCACCTTGCTGAGGCACGCTAAGTGCAGGAACGGATCTCACTCTGATGGGAGAAGGAGCAAAGGGTGAAAAATGGGAAATTGCTGAGGAATGAGTACTGAGAAAGCTGTGGAAAAAGGGAGCTCAAAGTGGAGGTGGGAGGGGAGGGAGCGGGAGGGCAGCCTGCCAAAAATCAGCTCAATGAAACTGAGCTGGTAAACAGACACTCATTTGGAGATGCTCACTGCAGCAGCAACGGGAACACGGATCCTTCCTGCTGGAAACACACACAGTGCCTCCTCAGCTCACAGAAACAAGAACCATCTCAGCAGGAAGGGTCAAATCAGAACCTTGCTCCAGAGTGCCCTGGACAGCAGCAGTGCTGGCACAGCCATCAGATCAATCAGCTGGAAGATTATAATAGAGGCTCCTTGAATTCTCTCCAGGATAAAAGCAAAGCCCCAATTTATGTAATCCCCTGCTGAGAGCTTCAACTGCTGAGCTCTGTTGGAAGGCAAGAAAAGGAGTGACTGCAGTGCTGTGTCAGGGAGTGTGGGTGAAACACTGAGTCTGGCTGTGGCTTCAGAGCAAGGAAGCAAATCCTCTGTGCTCTGGCATTCCCCACTCTGGGAACTGGAGCTTAGCAACAGCTCAGTTCAGCAGTTTCTCTTAGCTAGTTGGGAAGTCAGCACATGGCATTTGAGGAATCCAGTTCTGATCTCAGGAAGTCCATTAAGCTCAGCTCCAAAATTCCTTGAATGAGTCTGGCCCAAACTCTAAAAGCAATTAAAGCCTCTGACACCTGAACCTGCATCATGGCTGCATCCTGAATTTCCAGAGGACAGCATTAAAAGAACTCAAAAAGTTACAATTCTGCTTCATATTGGAGGGTTTTTAAAATTATGTTTTACCTTAACTTCACACTCCTTTGTGTTTTGGTGTCAGGGAGCAGCAGGTTCTTCACAATAAATATCAGGAAAAATGCATGTGTTACCTTTTTACAGCACCAACTGGAATTAGATTGGGGAAGTACATTAGTGGCTATTTCTTCAAATTAAACTGTGGTTGTATTACTGGCCACACTGCACTAAAAGGCACAGGTAGGTGGCTGGGTCACACCAGAAGGCACTTGGAGGAAGGATCCTGGGGCACCAGGAAAGGGGCAGGGTCACCCTTGGAGTACTCGGGGACCACAGAGAAGACTGGGGCACAAGAAGATACTCCTGGGGGTGTTGGAAGTAGATCTGGAAGAGTCCCAGTCTAAATTGTTTTCTCCAGCATCAAAATGAAATGTCTTATGGAAGATCTGGAAGAAAAGACAACACATTTCACTGTTTGCCTGCACATTCTCAGCTCCAGCAAGGCTCTGGGGGAGGCAGGACATTGCAGGGGATGCAGTGAGCAGTGTCAGCCCTGTGCACTGGGACAGTCCCACAGTAAAGGTTTTATATGAAACCAGCTCTGGGCTGAATGAAACATCAGCCAGAGAGGTGTTACCCTGCCCACTGCCTCTGAGCCAAAGAGAAATCACATTCTCCACAATTGTTCAGTGTCCTCCAAAGGAAAAGCAGGAAACAAGAACAGCAGCAGCTAAACCACAGCCACAAAGACCAGCTCCCTCCTGCATTGCCTGTGGATAACATTATTCCATAATTATTCCCACAGGATAAAGTGGGGCTGCTCTCACATTCTGAGTTAATCACATTCAAATACCTGCACAGACCAACACTTTTTGGTCTTTTACCTCTCACTGGTTCCACTGCCAAAACATTTTCTTATCAGAGAGGGGTTGTCCTGCCCACCTCAGGGCAGCCACTGCCTCTCCATCTGGGATGGCACACAGGGGTCACCTGCAGGGTGGGAAGCAGAGCATGTGCAGATGGAATCAAGGGTTGGGGCTTTTTTTTTTTCCTTTTAAAATAGCTTTATTTATTCACAAGGGAAATAAAAGAGCATCAAGAGAGATGGTTTTAAATTAAATATACACATAAACAAGTGCCTTGTTAAAACAGAAAGAAAAAACACTCTTGTGCAATATAGCAAAGTATTTCACACAAATTCCACATCTTACCCCTCCTTATGAAACTGGCATAGCTGGCATGAGCACGGTAAATTAGGTCAAGCTGTACCCAGATGAGGGATTAGAGGAGGAGTTTAGGAACAGCTGAAGACACCAACAGTGCTGGAATGGAAATGTTGGGTTACTCTGAACAGCAGGAAAAGCCAGAGACATCACCAAACCCACAGCACCAAGGCAGAGCAGTGTGTCCCTCAGCAGCAGGCTCAGGTGAGGGTTAAACACGAAGTGACAACCCCCTGCAGGTTGTCACAGCTGTAGCAGAGCTCCAGGGCAGCTTTTCATTGCTGGCAAACACTGCAAGAGGGAAAGTGAAGCAAAGCCTCCGTGGTTACTGCAGTGAGTGAGCTGTGCTGGTGCACTGAGGCCAAGTGGCATCAAACAAAGACACTTCTCATGTCTGAAAACTCTTGGTGTGGGAATAAGGAGCAGCATAAGGGTGTTAACCAATGTGAACAGCTGCAGAGCTGAAGCAGAACCAACCTGCTCTGAGCCAGAATTTAGGGCTCCTCTGAAGTGGGAAGGAGCAGGAATAACAGCATAAATAGCAAAGGTAATTCAAACTAAAGAAGAAACCAGACAAGTCCTATTCTTAGAAAAACTGCTTTCACAATCAACAGCTTTATCCTTCCAGTCTTCTTTAAATGACAGCATGGTATTTGCCATTGGGCTGTGGTTAATCATAAAATCCACCACTCCCTGGCATTAAAACAAACACACTAGCAGACAAAAAACACTGGAACACAAAAAAAATGAATTTACATATCCATCCAAAGCAATGGATGTGACTAAAAAATACTTGTGGGAACTTGGAGAACTCACAGATCTCCAGAGCAAACAAAAGGCCCCGAATAAATCCCAGTTACTCAGTGGTAACTGATAAAAAGTGAATAATTTTAAACTCTGAGACCTCTTTAAAATCCCATCCTATTTGGTGTGAGAATGCAAGATGGGAGAATGACAATTTTTCTCAAAATATGAGAGCAATAGCTTAATAGTGTGAGCCAATTATAAAATGTCATTTTCCTTAGCCCTGGAATTACAGTGAGTCAGCCTCTGGCAACATCCTCTTTGGTTCCACTGTTTTATTATGTCCCTCACATCTCCAGAGCCTTTATCCTGCACACTATAGCAAATAATAAAATCCCAAGACCAGAGAAGGAAAAATAACCAAGATTTCAGTGCATAATCTTTGCAAAGGCAGGGGCACAGTGAAGTAAACAGCTCGACATACTTTTGTGAACAAATTAATCTT